GCCTGTAAGTTCAGGAAAACTTTCAAACGATGGGCAGGGTTGCATTTGTAAACAAAAACAGAACGCGGTGAAAGCAAATAACCTTATATTTGTTGAAAAATGGAAGTAAACAGCGAAATATCTGAATATATATAGATTATAATAATTATTTTGATATTTCAGCCAAACAAACCGACTGGCGTTTTTACAGGAAATAGTACTTTTTGCGTCCCTACACTTCTACATCTGTTCAGAGTGTAAAATTGAACTTTGACAGTTCCACAGGTTTTAGTCGGAAATTCAAAGGAACAGACTAATTGTTCACATGGAAAATATGTTATAACCTATATTTTGTGGTTTTGATTTGTGCTTGTTTTTGGGTTTGTGGATTTGACTGAGTACGGGATTGCGAGCATTGTTGGTGCTGGCTTAAATTATAGAGTATCCACAAAGGATTGATAAATATATCTAATAAAGACTTCACATATTTATAATTTCACCATGGGGTAATGATCGATATAATCCTGATAGAGATCTGGCTCAATTTATGATCCGCTGTTTGTTTTGCTTCACTGAATATTGTGAACGTTGTATAGTATGTGTTGTTTGCTATTATTAATGCATATAATTATATTGTTATCTATTTTACAGATAAAATATATGGAGGAAAAGGAGAAAAGTTGTATGTGAATGGCCCTTGAGGGCTCCAGTAATCGACAAAATTCTGCGTATACAGACTGCGTTTAAGTATACGTTCTGCGTTCTTGACTAATTTCAGCNTTTTATTTAGACAGGCTGCACGCGGCACACCGCAAGCCCTTTGTGTTTCCAGCTTACAGCCTTTATGCCTATAACTCAATTTTCAATTTTTGTTGTGCGCCACATTTCGATTTGGCTTTCGCTCAATGAATTCATATGCAAACGCACGCAAGCCAATTTCGGGTGACGCAACAAAACAAATTCGACGCCTTACGTACCAAAACGCAGCCCGCGAATATTAAGTTAGCCCGTTAGTAAACTCTTCACCACGAGGAAAAATAAGACTCCGATAGTACTATTATTATTACCTTCACCACAATAACAATGTTACGGCTTAATGTGACAATAATGTTCGATGTTATGATGTCCGGAGATATACCGAGGAAATCTTTCGAATCGTTGATTCTTGATAAATTGAAATACGATAGGAACTTCGTCATCTTTTGTTGATTTTTTAAGTGTTTTTAAAGAGGAATCAACACGTTATGAAGTGGAAAAATATCGATCGATAGTATCGATGGTTTGCGGTTCCAAAAAATATCATCGATGATTTAAAACTATTGGGCCGTGCACAGGGTCAGTAATTACCACGAAATTTGGAACGCAATCCATTTTGATAGATTGATGGATCGCGCACGAATGCTACAAGTTCAATATTTATCGCGTCAGTATTTGCATATTTTTTGTGCTGAACGCTTATTATGACGCAAGAAAATATTTTTATTTTGTACGTATAATTTACAGATAATGCATTCCACAATTATTTTAAAGTTTCCAATGTTAATTAAAATTTTTTAAATTTGTTTTGAAATGCTTTAAGCACCGAGAGTGAAGGCAGAGCGAATAAAATAAGAGATGTGCTGACGAAATGCCTAGATCGCGTTTTGAAAGTGCTACACGTTCAATATTTATTGACGGTATT